TTTATGTGAGCCGCCCTGAGTCCCCTCAGGGAAAAGGGCGGCCTACAAATGTCAATAAAATCAAATCAAATCAAACAGAAACAGGTCGTTTCTAGAGGAAAGTATGAACTGGCTTGGCTCACATCTTTTCTAGCTGGAGAAGCTGCAGAAATCTCTTTATTCTACAAAACGCGGGAAGACACCTTCCAAATTGCTGGTCAGCAACTTCCGGGTGCCCCAGTCCTTGAACCAACGCCTGGTCTTGGCCTCCTTCCCTGTTGGTGAGCAGAAGCTGATTTCCTGGGTGTCCATGTAGGTGGACTCACCTGTAAAGATGGGGGAGGCTGCCCTCTGGTGGATACGTTTGGTCCATCCCCAAATCACGCAGGGGGAAAGGGGGTGGGGGTGGGGGTGGGAAGGAGGCAGCAAATCTGCCCCAGAACAGCATTTCTCTCCCTTCCCTTCCAGGCCCATCGGATTATTCTGCAGGTGTGACTCCCCTCCGGCCAGGCGGGACTTGCACAGCCAGCTAGCCAAGCTGCAGTGGTGGTGGTGGTTGTGGTGGTGGACGGGAGCCTTGCCAATCCAGGGGGGGCGGGAGGAGGACCACTGGTTAAAGAGCTGGCCATCATGGGTGGGGGTGGGGAGGGGTTTCTGTCAGTCAGAACGTCCAATAATCATGCCAAGAAAATGGGAAACGAGCTGGAATTCTAGAACGACGCCGACTGTGATAGTTAAGTGTTTTTTAGCCATCAACGTCCCGGCTCACACCTCAGTTGGTTCACTGTCCTAGTCCTCAAAGAGGAAGTGTTTTAAACCTGGGTTTTATTCATCTCCCCCAGCCCATCCCCTCTTCCACTGACCTGGTTCCCTCTTCTCCCTTTCCAGGTGAGGTCATTGCCATAATCGTTGCAGTTCTCTTGGGCTGCCTGGGTGTCTTCCTGGCTGGCTGGATTTTGGCAAAGAGAACCCGGTGAGGAGCAGGTGAATGTGGGACGCCAGCCCGGTTCCTGCCTGACTGCATTGCAGTGCCAGAATAAGGGAGGTCCCCGCATGTTTTCTTCTGGAGGGGCAAGTGATTGAAGCGACCCTACCACCACTCCTCCCCATGTGGAGTACTGAGGATGCGAAGACCTAGGGAGAATTTTACTGGAAAGAGAACACCAGAGATATTTATTAAACTTCCTCCTGCCCCATCCTGAGCTTTGTGTTTTTCTACCCTAATGGGCAAGAACGGCAGGAGCAAAGGGCCACTGCAGGAGCCTCCCCTCCAGGACAAGACTCCCTCCTGCAGCCCTGCCATCCTTTCTGTTCTCTGTGGAAGCCACAAGTATTTAGGCTGGGGGGAGGAATTGTCTGGAGAAGGAACTAGCCTAACCAACACCGGCCTCCCTCTTCTGCCACACTGCCCAGCTGATTTCCCTCCCCAGCAGGGTCAGGAAGAGGCAGTTGGCACCTGGCAAGTGTTTCTCCTCCATAATGCTGGGGTCTCCTGCCAACTTCCATGATGGCCAAAGGGGAGGAAGCCATGGGAATCCCAAGACGCAGGTGGAACATCTGGTCTCGCCCAGTATTCAGAACCCCACTCAACAAAACACAACGGCCACATTCCCAAAACCAGCTGGGCTGGCACAAGGACGCTCGGGCGACAAACCACTCAGCCCTCTTTGAGTCAAGGCAAACGCGCTGGGCAAACCCAGCTTTTGAACTCGACCAGCCTTTTAGTCAGGCGGCAGAAGACGTCTATGTCCAGAAAGGGCCCCAGGGTGCGAGAGGCCTTTGCGCCACCCATTGGCAGGGGCCGCTTCCCTCCTTGCCCAAGGTGACCCAGCATGAGAACCGTTGCCAGAGAACTCTTTTTATGAACTGCATCTTGGACCAACTCGTAAAAGGATTTAGGGCTCAACATTAAAGAAGGAAAGGAGGATTGGGACGTTATAAAAAAGAATTAGTCAGAGAAAGAAAGATCTTTTGTGTTCATATACGCACAGTGGCACCTCCTAGCCAGCAGATGGTGCTCTTGCGCCCCACCAGGTCCAGTGCCTAGAGAGTCTACACTACAGGATTCCCCAGGGGATGGAGGAAAAGTTCAGGCTGAGAACAAAGGGATTTTGTGGGCACATGGGGAGCTCAGCCATAGCCCACAAAAGCTCCAGAATAAACGGAGCTGGAGGAAGGAAGGAAGGAGAGGGGGATTTCCAGCCGCTAGCCCAAGCACCCAGTTAGCCTTCCTGCCTTCCAAGCCATCTTTTGGGCCAAGAAGCCTCTCCTCCTCCTGCCTTCCCAGGGCCAGGCAAGAGCTCCAGCCACCTGATCAGCCCGGGAGCCCTTGTCCCACGTCCAGTGGTGTGGAAATTGTCCTTGGGGGGGCTCATCTTTCCTAGGAAGCATCTGAGCACCAGAACTCAATGGGAAAGGACTCAGCCCTCCACAAGGAGTTGCAGCTCAGAATACACCATAAGGTGGCCGTCCCTGTTGGAAGAAATGTCCTTGGGGAAAAAGACCCTGGAGGCATGGAGGCTTTCTCCCTGCCTACAAGGAAGGACAGAATAATTAACCTGCAGCCAAACCCCAGACGAGGCACCCACCGAAGCCTTCCAAGTTCGGATCACTCTCCTCTGGCTTCCAGCAGGGCAGACGGGACAGGATGGGCCATGGAGAACTGGGAGCCCAACCCCTATTTCTCAACTGCGTTGCACCCCGGATGCAGGAGCTTCTGCTCATCCTCCCTGGGCACCAATAGTGATTCCGTCTGTTCTCCCCTCCCCCCTTCTCCAAACCCCACAAAAGTCATGGCCCCCACAGGAGAGGCAGGCAAGGAGGTTGCGCAGTGAACCACCAGCTGTGAAAAGGGCCTGTCGAGATGGCGAGCAGGAAGATGGGAACAAGGCTTGCTTGGTAGCAGGGGTCCATAAACGTCTCTGGGGAAAGAGTGAGGGTTTTTGTTTCAGAAGGCAGCCCACCCACTCCCCCCTTTGATCTGAGAGACTCGGCCCGGTCTGCTAAGCTGCTGGGGAAAAGCAGCGGGTCCCCGGCCACAGTTAGCAGGCAGAGCACCAGCGCCGGCCCGAAGGCGATGAAGGAGCGGCCGAGAAACACGCGCGCCCCCATCGGGCCTCGGCAGTAGGAGGAGGAGCAGCGAGGAGTGGGAGGCCCTGGGCGGAGCTTCCAACACGGGCCCACTGGGAGCTGTAGTCCCCCGGAGGAGAAGCTGCGCCCGATCGGGGCCGTCCGAGCTGGTGGCAGGCAGGGATTCCCTGCTGGGGCCTGGCCAGGGGCGCCCTGTCCAAAGAACGCCAGGCATTCGGCCGCCTCTACGGCACCTTTTCGCGAGGCGGGATGGGGCGGCGGGTGCCGCGCGGCTTCCGCTTCTTCCCTGCCGGCCCAGCTGACGCCAATCCCGTCCGTCAGCGCAGGAGAAGGTGGCAGCTTCCGCGAAGGTTGCCGGTTTGCGGAGGAAGATCCCTTACAATAAGTGTAGGAACTAAACGGAGACGCTTGTGAAGCCAAAGAAAAGGCAAAACAGGGGAAGAGCCGTTGGGCCCGATGGTTTACCTGCTTCTCCTTAGAAACAGAGGAGACAGGAAATACTCCCAGACTGACAACTGGACAGAGGCCAATATGGCGTTAATGCCCAAAGGGGGTCAGGATTCAGGACTCCTGAATAGTGACTGTAACTTATGAAGGATGGTTTTGGACAAGAAATCCTGAAAAGGATTCCAGAAAATGGTCTTTTCTGGGTTTTATTCACAAAGATCAACCTAGGTTTTTAACCAAAAGATAAAAGGGCCCCCACTATGCCCTTGTCATTCTGTTTCTCCATTTAGGTCAGGCAATGTCTCTGAAATCTGAGGACCCAGATTGTTGGGGGCAATATGCTGACTCTCTGTAAACCGCTTAGAGAGGCCTGAAAGGCCTATGAAGCGGTATATAAGTCTACTACTGCTATTGCTGAAAGGATGAGCCAAGGGATGATTTTCTTGCCAAGTACCCCCTGCACAGACCATTCTAAATGCAGAATTAACAAGGCCTTGTGAGACACAGAAAGGAATGTGACAGAGACGCCCCTTCTCACCCTTGTTATTCTTCTTAGCTGAACGGAGGCATGGGACAAAATTTTAATTTCTGGGATGAGGATTAAACGGAAAACATAAATTATATGCCCAGGATTTGATAATTTTGGAAAATCCTTTGAAAGCAACAGAAATATTAATGGAAAAATTAAAGGATGTTGGTGCTTAGCTGGATTCAAAATTAATAATGAGAAAACACATGTTAATGAAAACATAAGGATGGAAGAGAATTGGTGGAAAAAATGGTTAAAGATTGAGACAAAAAGGAAAGTTGAGAAAAAGTATGAGTAGTAATGAGCATTACTATGACTAATATGGATTCTACTGTGCTATAGAAATTTAGAATTCAGGACAAAGATAAACGTGAATGACATCACACCTCAATTCTCCATATCAAATGATTGACACTGAGTCTGCACGAGGGCAGCTAATGAAGCGGCTGCATTTTCACAAGTCGAATTGTAATAATATGGCATGTGATGATTATAATGGTCTCCAAACCGTAAGAGAGAGAAAGCAACCGACTAAGTTGCCTATTCCTTCAGTCCAATAACAATGAATGGACCACCTGTGGATTCTTCATCACTGACCATTTCCATAAGACGAGATAAGAGTCCCAACACTTCGAATAATGCTTCGAATAACTTTGTGTGTCTTTAGAAAAGAAAATTTGTAGGTTTGGTGTTTAGTGGGGTCCTTGGTGCCCTCGGGGCTTGGTTTTTTCACTAAGCACAGACCTTTCACTACCCAACTAGCTAACCTCATCAGTCCCAGGTAACGATATGCGGATTATTACTAACACTGATGTTACCTTGTTATAATTAAACGCCTGTGAGAAAACAATGGATTTCAGGCCTCGAAGGGCCACACACAAGGCATCTTTTTAAAAGGCAGATGGGGATTTCGGCTGTTGAGACACCGGCTGTCTAGGATGAAAATAGACCTTAATACGGAGAACCCAAGGAGGCTCACGCTGTACCTGCCTTACGCACAAAAGGACAACTCAAACCTCCCCAAACTGCAGACACGGAGGCAGGGAATATTCTGCTGTCCTTGCACTTTCCCACCATTACCTTGGTTGTGAAAACGGCGCTTTCTTTCCAGCCTCTGCACGTGTACAGGCACGTGGAAAGCAACCTGACAGATGGGGTCACAACAACGAGCGTGGCTCTACAGCAGGCAGGAGAGCCTTTCTTAAGGAAAGGGCGCGAGGGGAGAAAAAACCCTCGGACGGAGCCTCGTTGTCCGCAGGGGACGAGGGGTCCCCGACCCCCGCATGATCGGCAGGCCCGCCCACCGACCCGCGTTGCTTCCAGAGCGCCTCGGGCGCACACAAAAGGAGACAGCGGCGGGCGAGAGGGAAGGGAAGAGGGGGGCTCCGCCCGTCCGGCCAATCGGCTCCCTGGGGCGGGGAGCGGCGTCGCGACCCACGCCGGGAGAGGCGGGGCATCTGCTAGGGGGCCCCATGCGCCGTGTCATGGAGGCTCAGTGTGCGAGCGGCCATTGAAGGGAAAGGAGCTGCGTGTTTCGCAACAGGAGGAGGGATCGGGGTGGCCGAGCAGCCCGGAGTTCTCAACTCCGCTCGCACCGCCTCCGGGGCCCTTTGCTGAGCAGCCGAGAGGGGGGACTCTCCCTTTATTTTGTTCTTCTTCTTCTTCTTCTCCCTCTCCTCCTCCTCCTCCTCGCCACGCATCCCCACGCCTGCCTGTCGGGTTCTCCTTAGGTAGTTTGCGCCCCTCCCTCCTCGCTCTCCACTTTGGAGAGGCTTTCCAGATGGAGATGAAAAAGCTGGAAATGAAGAAGCGCGTTAACCTGGAGTTGAGGAACCGCGCGCCCGAGAAGGTGAGGACAAACCCCCGGGAGGCAGGAAATCGAAGATAGGTAAAGATTCCCAGGATTTCCCTCCTCGCGCCTCGATCGTGCCAAAAGTGCGCGGCGATCGATGCGCTCGGCGGAGGAGGACGCGTGGGGGGGGGGGGGGGGGGCGTGGGGGGGGGGGGGGGCTTAGCAGCAGAGCGGCCGCCGGACCCGTCTCCTTCGCCCAGTCCTTTCAAGGGCTCTTATTCAGGGCCCGACCTCCCCGAGATGGGCTTTTCTCTGCGAGGCCTGGTGGCGGCAACCACCGCCGGCTGCCTTTTCTCACTTTCTCTCCTGCCTCCTCCACCTTTTACCCGAGCGGTCCCGGCGCGGCATAAATCACAGGGCGCGAGGCTGCTCCTGCCTTCCGTACCCTAAAGGGGCTTGTTGGAAGCCCGATGCAAGAGACGAGCTGGTTAACTCTTCCGCTCCCAAGGCCGCCTCGGCTCGGGCAGTCCCCGCCGTGCAATCTCTCCCCGCCCCAAACCAGTTAATTAAAAATAAGCGGCGGCTCCAGATGAAGGAGAACCGAGCAGAAGAAGAAGGGAGGCTCCCAAGTTAAAACTTTCCCCCCTTCCCCCCTTTTGCAGTCAACGGCTCTTTCGTCAAATCTGGGTTAGGCGGGCTCGACTGAAAGGGCGGCGGGGAGCTTTTCCCGATGCTGCCCTCCTCCTACCCAGCAAATACCCCGTTGGGTCCCCCCCCCCACCTTCTCGCGCAGAAAAAAGGCAGCGGGTCCATGAGGGTGGAAACCGGGGACTCTGCCGCCAGTCCTTGTAGCGAATGTACTTTCCACAAAGGCTGGTAAACAAGGCTGGCTGCAGCTGAATCCATCTTAGTCTCTTCTACGCAGATGAATTAGGCTCCTTCCTGGCGTCTCCGTAGAGCGGGTGGAGGGTGGACCCTCTCTTTAAAAAGCAGAAGACACCAGCCAGGCATTTTCCATGTGGCTTAATCTTTCTAAACCACGGAGGAGGAGGAGGAGGAGGAGGAGGGCAGCAATCGCCCCAAGAGCAGCAGCCCTGGATGGGCAACGCCCCTCCCTGTCCCTTATGGAAATCTCATGCCTGGGCGGTCAAGGAGATAAAGGCCAGTGGAGAGAGGATGATAAGCCATGCCTACCCGCCTGGGGCTTCTGTGCCCTGGGCCTCTTCACAAAGGCAAGAGGGCACCCACCTCCCGCCCGAGGATGGGATGGTACCCATGGGGCCACCAGGGAAGCCGCCGCTGGCTCCAGACGGAGGGAGCTTTAATCCAGCCGTCCCAAGAACACAAGATGGAGAAAGGTGGGGGGAGCCAGAGAACGACCCACCAGAGAGGAGAAGCAGGAAACCTCTGGTGCCACTGGAGCGCTGCAGGAAATGCCCGGGGTGCTCCCTCCGCCATAGTTCCCTTGCAGGAGGAGAGGCTGTCCCCAAAGCAGCTGCGCGGTTGGCAGAGGAGCCCGGGGTCTTGGACAGGCCCACTGGGGTCCCAGGATTGCTCTTCCTCTGCCCCCACCCCCGAGTGGGATCGAATGGAGATTTCCTGGAGCGTGAGGCTCTGGGGAAGATGGCCACAGGTTCTTGTAAAATGCGCCCCAGCATTGGCTTCGTGCTGGAGGAAGAGAGGAGGGAGCCGAGTGATCCTCTGGCCCTTTTCCCCTTCCCTGCAGGGGAAGATCCAACCTTCGCTGCTGCCCTTGTTCAGAAGGTGCAGAAGACGAAGAACTAACAGCCGTCCCCGGTGCCCTTAACGCACAGAACGCAACGGGCCCCCTTCCCCAGTACATTCCGGGAAGTAAATGTGAAAAGTTCTTTACTCACCCAAATCATACACTTTTTACGGTATTTTCTGCAGAAGAAGTGGATGCTTCTTGTAGGACCTAGTAAAAAACGAGAGATAGCTTGGCAAGTCTCATTTAAAAGGGAATCCCACTACAAAGCGTGTGACGTGAGCAGTGCCTAGGCTGGAACCCTGCCCCCCCCCCCCGTGGGAGCCCCCCCCCCCTGCCCAAAGCCACAGGGGGGAAATGCTGTAACTTAAGAAAGCGCCTGCGGGGTGAAGGCGACGGTTACCTTAAGCTTCCAGGCCTCCTTTCATTTTGTAGCGTAGGGTGCAACAGTATCCAGAGTGTTTTCTGTGTGGAATAAAAAGTTTCTGGTTATTATTACTAAGGGGACGTTGCTACTGTATCTGTCAAAGTCCGAAGACCTTCCCTTCAGGGCAGTTTTTCTTAAAGGTCTTCGCTATACTTGAGTATGATCTGTCTCAATATTTAAAAAAAGAGTTTGCATCTTTATTACATACGACGTGATTATCAGGTGTGTCCAAAATGAATCTAAATGACCATCTTTTTAGTCATAAAGTTTGCAAGAGAAAGTTGGAAGATACTTCTCCCCACCCCACCCGCCCCTGCCCCAGAGACGGGGGGTTTCATCCAGCTGAAAGGGGGAATGTGATGCTTTTTTAGGTGGCTGAGCTGGTGCTGGACAACTGCCGGTCCGGCAATGGTGAAATCGAAGGCCTGAACGACTCATTTAAAGAACTGGAGTTTCTCAGCATGGCCAACACGGAGCTGAGCTCTTTGGCCAAACTCCCCACGCTGACAAAGCTTCGAAGGGTGAGTGTTTGGTTATGGCAGGTAACCTTCGGTTAGGGCATGGGGCAGGTACACGAGGTCCTTTCATGCCCAGGCAGTCTTTCGCGTAAGGATCTCGTCAATGTCGCCTATTATGCCCACTGTATCATGAAAACGTAGGTTTCCTTAGGTAATTTCTTTATGGGAGAACATGTAGATTTCAAAGTCAACTCCACTGACTGACGTGTTTATGCTGTAGCTGGAACTGAGTGACAATCTAATTTCCGGCGGTCTAGAAGTCCTGGCAGAGAGATGTCCAAATCTTACATATCTAAATTTGAGCGGCAACAAAATCAAGGATCTCAGCACCGTTGAAACTCTTGTAAGTATTGAATTGGATGGGATGTAAAAAGATCTTAGACCTACTTGGTCGTCATTACAATGCATTTAAGATGCTAAAGAGCCTTGGGAAAATGAAACACCATTGTTTGAATAATTTGCGTCATAACTGCTGCTATAGAGGATACGATTGTGAGAGTCCAAGCAGTGTAAAAGAGCTTTTCTAAGAGGAGTCCTTCCTGGTGTGTTGAATTACAAATTGCACCCTCTTCGGTCAGGCAGTCCGACCGTTTGGCCCTAAACGGAACCCTGGCAGTTCCCAATAAAAGAAGGAACCAGCAATAACTCCGCAGGCATTTGCACGTATTTTCCTTTGCCATTTCATTTTATAACAGAGATATTTCCTCGTTATCTAGCCGCTGTTTCTGCCTAATACTTGGAAGTTAGAATCAGGTGTGGGTTCCACGCTGATGTGAATGCTTCTCAGGCAGAATTACTCAACCGGGTCACTGACCAAGAAGCTGTTTTCCATCCTAGCAAAGGGAGTTGGCAGCAACGTAGAAAACTAACCATAAAGGGCAGTTTCAGATGTCCTGGCCCAATCCCCATTGATAAATATACATGGTTAGCACAGTAACTTGATTTAGCAACTTAATAAATAACATCTCCGTGTTTTTCCTAATTTTTAGCAAAATCTGAAGAACCTGAAAAGCCTTGATCTGTTTAACTGTGAGATCACAAATCTGGAAGATTACCGAGAAAATGTCTTTGAGTTGCTCCACCAAATCACGTATCTAGATGGGTTTGATCAGGATGATAATGAGGCCCCTGATTCAGAAGAGGAAGAGGAAGACGACGACGATGGTAATTGCTCATTGGAATATTTACTATGAATATTTTCAAGGCCCGAGTAAGAAATACATACCTGAAATATGAAAATCGACCAGAGATCAAAATATACCATTCAAATTATACACGCTCTACATGCTAATAAACCAATGGTTTCCCTTACAAGGGTTAGGGTTGGCAGTTGGCCAACTTTACATTTCCTATAAAGATACATTTTTTAGAAATAGTTTGTTGTATAGTTGCAGGTCTTTTCAGCAGTTCAGTTACCCCCCTCTGTGACCTGCAGCCTTTCAGAGGCACCTGAGGGCACCTGAGCATTTATTTCCGCCATCTCCCACCTTAGTTGAGAAGTGGGTTTTTCTACTGTGTGCTGAATCTGAACCCCCGGATCGGCCCTTCGGTTCTAAGTCAGAAGCATTTATTCCCTTTTCCTTCAGATGGGGACGAAGACGAGGACGAAGACGAGGACAAAGCCGGCCCCCCAGGAGAATATGAGGAAAACGATGAAGATGACGAAGCTTCAGACTTGGGGGAGGGGGAAGAGGAGGAGGAGGAGGAGGAAGTGGGTCTTTCCTATTTGATGAAAGAAGAGATTCAGGTTATACTCTTCATTTGCAAAGCCTTTAACCATATTAGCTTAGCTTCATATTTTAAAGCCCTGTCAGTTTGCGCCATTCCTCCACAGTTTTCTCCTGCCATAGCACAAGTGGATGTTCACTGTATTCAAGTTTTACAAAAAAATAATAATCAAATATGCTACCTTCTTTAATGTGCCGTTTTATTTTCCTTAGTTTGTATTTTACACTTTTTTATTCATTTACATCCACCAGGCTTCATCTTTCACTATATTTCTCAGGAGAATTATCAGGTGTTTTTTTTTATTGCACCTTAGAAAGTGCTTTTTAAATAATCTAAACTGGTATTTCAGTTGTGTAAGATTACTAATTTCCCACAAGCAGGATCTGGGCCTGGATTACAGTGGTAATATATATTTTAGGCAAAAAAAAACCAGTGACTTTTATAATTTATTAGGTGTAATATAGCTCATCCTTCCACTCAGTATTTGCTTGGCGATCAGCTAAGAATTATATAAGTTGAAATCTAAAACCTCCGGTTATGAGGAAAGGTGGCATGGCTCTTATATTACCGCAATTACAACTGTAGCTTTACGCGGCTATTTAACTGTAGTTGAGTTTTCATTCTACTTATATGGGAAATGTTTACTTATTTACTTTCATAGGTTTAGCTAAATGGACCTTAGTAATTCTGAATTTCTGAAATCCTTAACTTGTTTCTCTAAAGGATGAAGAGGATGATGATGATTATGTAGAGGAGCGAGACAATGAGGAAGAAGGTAAGCTTTATATTCAGCCTGCACTGACTTTTTAAGTTTTACTATTCTGGATTCAAAAGTTGCCTTCTCTGACTTTTCTCTCAGAACAAAAAGAACTTTTATAAATTTTGTTAGCTGGGACGAAATGTCTTTTTATTTAACTTAGAATAAATTCCTGGTTCATTTGAGCTTCTAAACTACTTGTTTAATACTACTTACATTTAAGTTTTAAAGTTATAAATTGATAAGACTTCTATTTTTGCTTAGAAGATTCATTGATATTTTAAATGTGTGTGCTGCCATTACATGTAATTGTTCAGAAGTGATGAAAATAAGTGTACAATAGTGTGCAGGAGTCACCGCCCCTTAATTTTCCTTTGGACATGTGTAAATTTTTTCCCCATAGACGCCGTTGTCCGGGGTGAGAAGAGAAAACGTTCACCTGAAGACGAAGGAGATGATGATGATGATTAAGTCGCAGAAAATACAAATAGGACCCGATTCATTTTTGTTGGAATTATGCAATAGTGATATGCAGATTTGTAAGGTTCCATGTATGATAGGTCTCTACAAAAGATATTAATGTGTTTTAACTTTTTATAGGAAGTGTTTTACTATGTTTGCCCTTTTTATCATTCCAACTAAGACATAATAATCCATTATTGATCATATCTCCATCCGTTTCACTCACTGAAGCAGTTGCCCCTATTTCCTGCCTAGAAACTTCATTCCTCCCATTGTTTCCCCCCCCCCTTCCGTTTCCTCATTATGAGCATGCTGTTAACCCCTAGCCAGTTACTTCAGACGGATTGAACAGAGTTAAACTTTTAAGAGAGCATGCTCATGTCAAATACACAGGAGTAAGATACCAACTCTTCACTGGAAAGGACTCTGTCGCAACTGAAATGGGAATTAGGTCATCTGGAACTCGCATTTTACCTATCATTTCATTTTAAAAGGATATCTGAATGATGTATTGAATTCCTAGTTCATTTCTGTGTGTGGTTAGTTTCTCTCTCTCTCTCTCTCTCTCACACACACACACACACACACACA